CACACACACACACACACACACACACACACACACACACACACGGGCCCCCTCCCTTCTCTTAATCCCCCTGACCATAATCCTTACTCCCAGGGTCCTTAAGCAGCCATGCCCCCCACCCTGGGACACCTCCCTGACACCTATAGGCACTGCCCAGAAGTCAGCATGTGACTGGGCTGAGCCTGCAGAACTGAGGTGACAGAGGATAATCCCAGAGAGAGGCTGATCACAGGCCTGGGGCACACCAACCTGGTGTACAGCCCGGCCTCCCCCTTATTAGCTGGGTGAGCTACAGGGTCAGTTGGCCTCTTGGGCCACCTGTAAAATGGAGACAGTCCACTCCACCTCTACTGAGGAGTGAGCGAGAGGGTGCAGCAAAAGCGCTCTGCCTGCTCAGGCCAGTGCTCACCCAGGGCAGCTGCCGGCACTAAGGTACCAGCAAGGGCCAAGTTCAAGGGTGAGCTGAAAGAGATAGCAGTGAGGGGCCAAGGAAAGCAAAGGTCTGTGAGCACACCCAGAGGCCAGCAAGGTTCCTACTTCAACATCTTTGACAGCCCCTTTAACCTGGTTAGAATTCAAATACATCCTGCCAAACCTCAGAGAGAAGACATAGTGACCTATAGGAAGCAACACAGCGACCTACCGGAAGCCCCAGGCCAAGCCTCTTACTGGCATCAAGGAAAGGAAACTCAGGCTCAGAAGGGGAAGTGACTTGCCCAAGGTCACACAGAGTGGAGCCAAGTCTCTCCCAAGCCCTCAGTTAGACAGTGAGGCGCAGAAGCACATGTAAGGGGCTGAGCCTCACTTTCAGCCCCCATCAGTGCCACCTGGTAGCTAGACAGATGGGGACTTAGGGTGTCATGGCCTCACCCCTCTGAGCCTACCTCTCCCCTTCTGATCTGCTTTGTGCAGCTCAATAAAAGGTTTGTTTTCAGCCTTTGCAGCATGGCACACACCCATTGTCCCAGCTACTCAGGAGGCTGAGGCAGGAGAATTGCCTGGGCCTAGGAGTTCAAGGCCAGCCTAGGCAACATAGCCAGACCCCATGACCACCTCAAAAAGTAAATAAATAAAAAGTTTATTTTCTTTTACGGCTCTCAGAGGAAATTTGAAAAATATAGACAAAACGACCAGAGAACCATTGCAGAATCTTACAGAATCCCCCTAGGTCCCTGAAGAGCAGAAACAGAAGAATATCACGTGCCTAGCCAGAGGAGGGACTCGATGAAGGACTATCTCCTGAGTCTTCTCCAAGTGGTGGCAAGAACACTGCACAGGGAACAGGCAGACCTGGGGTCTAGCCTTCATCCTGCCCTCCATCTTGGTTGCCAACCCTTTAAAGGACAGCTCCCCAACAAATCCTGCTCACCCTGCACTTTGCAGCCTGGCCACAAAGCAGGCAGCCACACCCAGGGTTGGGTTTGGAGCTGCTTCGGGTCACACCCTTGTAAAATAAGTAAGCAGGGGGCAGGCCTGCCTATGGGGCTGAGGCCCTGGGCAACTGGGAACCCACAGGAGAGGGGGCTCTGGACCTGGCAGGCCTCTAGAGGTATCTATGTAAGCAGACTCCCCGACTCCTTGGCTCGTAACTTGGGCAAGTGACTTCACTACTCTGCTCAATTTCCTTACCTTCAAGGTGCCTCATCCTGGGTATCTTGACCAAGATGATGATTTTGAAGAGTGCCAAGCAGTATCTGGCATATGAGAGGCATTGAATAAAAGAGAGCTGTCCTTGCCAAGATCACTGAGCCCCTCCTGGAGGGAGTTTCAGACAGATGCAGTCTGGAATCCTCTGGGAGCATTCAAAGTAGTTCAAAACCACAGCTGTTACTGAAACTCTGAGTTTGAAAGCAGCTGGCCAGAGGAGAGACTGGCCCTTCTATCTAATTCTGGTAGTACTGGAGAAAGTCAAGGCTGTATAGGAAGATGACTTGTGGGTCAGGTCACTCTACGCAATCTCCCTCTATGACCTTGGACAGGTCACATCCCCTCTCTGACCCTCAGTTTCCCCTGTAGCATGGAGCTACTAATCCCACTTACTTCATAGGCTACAAGAATATTTTAAAGTATAAAATACTGAACACAAGACATTGAAAGATATTCTCAGGTGCTTGACCTATAAAGTGAGGATGATAGCATACCTGCTTCCTGCCCTCCTAGTTGGAACTAACGGGCAGGAAGGGGTTCTGGGGAGGCAAAGCCAAGCCTGATTCCAGTAGCAGGAATTGGGACTCTTCCTACAGTAAGAGATGGCCAGGGATCCATGCTTGCTGATTGGCACAGCTCTCACCAGAGGCCTGGGAGTGGGGGACACCCAAACTTATTACAACCACAACTAAGCCAACTACAACACCCCCACTTTCCCTCCCTGGAGCAAGCTTCTAAAACCAAAAGTGACCCAAGGTGAGCTGGCCCCAGAGCTACTACAGGCACACATGCATTTTCAAGAAGAGGAAACTGAGGCCCAGACTCAAATACACACGGTGAATTAGTGACAGTCAGGACTAAAAAAACAGGCTCCCCTAACCCCGCCCTGTCACCAGTCCCCCAGGCCCTTTCCCACTCCACCCCCAGACTAAGGTTGTTTCGGCTCCAGGAATTCCACTCCCACAAACACACCCCATGCTGCAGGATGCCACCATACTTTGGACCCTCCCTGGCCTGGAGCAGGGACATGAGGGCATAGCCCAGCTGAACAGGAACCCTGGGGGCTGCCTGCATTTGCATCTGCCACTGCCTATCTGGGAGCAAAGACTGGGGAAAGACCTAGGGCATATACCTGGGAAGGAGTTGGCTGGAGGGACAGTCTGGAGTCTGTCCAAGCCAGACTGGGTCTGAGAGAGCCACCAGACTTGTACTCCTGCCTTAAGTCCCCAAGGTATCCCCAGGCCAAGCCCTGAGGACAAGTAGCAGGTGCCCAGTACAATAAAGAAATGAATGAACAGTGGCAATGTTGGGTGCCTTGTGGAGTTACTTCTCCAGTCACCCAGTGCACTAGGGACATTGGATTGGGTCTCCAGACTCCCAATTTAGTGCTCAGCACACCCCACGACAGTGGATAAGACGATTTCATCCGAACTCCGAAAATGATGGGGTTGTTTTTTTCCCCCTCAGTTATTAGGGGCAAAAAAAATTGTGGAAACTGAAAGTTCATCTCTCCCTCCCCCAAATTCAACCTGCTTCGCTCAAAACTGAATCTCAGGAGCTCCTCCCTCCTTTTCCCCACCCAAAAAGCACAGGGAGAAGCAGTGGGGGTCCCCAGCATTACCGGCAGCCGGCCTGCCGGCACGCATCGCACAACTTGGCCCTCGGGTCCGTGGGGAGTGGCGTCGAGGCAGGTGCTAGGTGCCGCGGCAGGAGGCACCGTCTGCGGGTACAGCGAGGTGTGGTAGGTGGTGGTGGCCCGGCAGAGTTGGGGGCTGCTGAGGCCGGGCGGCCACAGCTCCGTGGGGCTCAAAGAGGGCACCCCCTTTGCGGGCTGCGCAGCGGCCGGAGCCAGGGCCCGGGGCCCGCGCAGCATGGCGAGTGCGGCGCCCCCTACCCAATGGCCCTGGCGCGCCCGCGGGCACCTGGGGGCTCTGGAGCCCGCAGCGGCTCACACAGCCGGCGGCATGGCGCGGAGGCCGGGGGAAGCCGCCAATGGACGTCTACCGGGCAAGGCCGGACCCTCCCCTCCTGGCCCAAGGCCGAGCAGCGCTTGGAGATCGCCGCTTGGAGACCGCCTGGCGGCGGTGGCACTACCAGGAGCTGTCCCGCCCCGAACGCGGCCGCCTCCCGGGACTGCCCCGCGACCCGAAGGCCTTGGAGCGCCTGGGGTCTGGCCCGCTCCGGGGAGAAGCCTCGGGTGCCTACGGGCTCGACCAGAGACGCGGTGTGCTCGGACGCGGAAGGGGCCCTGAGAGCCCCGACTCGCTCTCGGCTCGCTCTCTGGTCCCCAAGCCTTTCTCAGTTTCTTTTTTCTTCTCTCTTTTTTTTTAGCGCCAATCTGCGTGCCGCGAAATTCAGATCTCCCGCGGAAAATGCGGCGCTTTGGTTGGCTGCTGCAACACGCACAGGCTCCGCCCCCCGGAAAGGACCGACCTTAGAAGCCGCGATTGCAACACGAGCTTTACAGCTTAAAGGGGCCACGACACCTGCTCCTGTCCCTGTAGGCCCGCTGCAGCAGCCCACGAAACTGAGACTGAGGGCGGTTACCAGACACACAGCACAGGACTGAGCAGCTCATAGTGCATTGAGAAATGGGCCCGGGTTCCCTGGGGATGGGGAAAAATGTTTTGGCTTGGAGTCCAGATCTGAGCCTAGACCCTGCAGTGCATTTCCCAGGACACAGGGCTCTTTGTTAGTTTGTGTGGTTGGACTGTATTGTATACATTTATATCCCTCTTTCTGCTAAAATGAAAGCCAGGAACCAGTAACTTTAATTGGCAGAATGGGGGGGGGGGGGGCAAGACATGGATCCCAACATTTATGCCTCTTCATAGGGAAAACTAACATCTACTGAGTGTCTACTGTATGCCAAGCACCATGCTAGACCGTTAAATGTGTTGTTTTATTTAATTTACACCAACAATCCTGGGAAGAGCAATGATTATCTTTGTGGTAAAGGTGGAGAGGCTGAGAAGCTAGGTCACATGCCCAAGGTCATACAGAGAGATTCACTGATTTGAAAACTGACAGTGGAATCAGACAATCCAGCTCTGGAGTCCTGTTTATTCCACCAAAGGCACAGCTGGAGTGAGGGTCCAGAGTACAGATTGTGTCTTGTACACAATTGTATTCTGAGGCTGGGCACAGTGGTAATCCCAGCAACTCAGGAGGCTGAGGCAGGAGGATCGTGAGTTCAATGCCAGCCTCAGCAATGATGAGGCCCTAAGCAACTCAGTGAGACCCTGTCTCTCAATCAAATACAAAATAGGGCTAGGAATGTGGCTCAGTGGTTGAGCCCCCGAGTCCAACCCCTAGTCCCCCCCCCCCCAAAAAAAAGCTCAATTGTATTCCGAGGACCCAGCACTTGGCAGATACTTGCACATCTCTAAGTTTCTCCTAAACAATCCTTTTGTCACTAGAGCCTCCCTCCCTCATTCTAAACCTTTCATTGTTGATCATCTATTTCCAGTCCTCAGCTCTCCAGTTCAGAGAGGCTCAAAAGTGACCTTGGTAGTGAGTGCCAGAGCTGCCATTCATTCCAGATCTGCAGATTCCTGCCTATCTACTGTGTGGTTTGTAGGAAAGTCTGAGCCTTGACATTCAAAACCTTCCAGAGTCTGTTCCCAGCTCCGGACCTCATCGGATCACTGATGATGAGGTGGCCCAGGCTTTGTTGCCAGCTTGTCTGGATTGAAACTGAAGCCCTGCAGCTTTACTAGCTGTGTGACACCAAGCAAGATTTGTTTGTGTTCTGGTACTGCAGATTAAACCCAGGGGCGCTTTACCACTGAGCCACATCCCCAGCCCTTTTAACTTTTCATTTTGAGACAGGGTCTTGCTAAATTTCCCAGGCTGGCCTTGAATTTGTAATCCTCCTGCCTCAGCCTCCTGAGTTGCTGGGATTACCGACATGAGCCACATGCCTGGCCCCAGGCAGGTTTTAAAAATTCTCCAAACCTTGGTTTTTCTCATCTCTAATCCCACTTACCTCATGGGAGTGTGGGGAAATCTCATGAGATAATGCATGTGAAGCTTTTGGCCCAGGACCGGTTCATAAGGGGCTTCAAGAATCGGCAGCTGTTGCTCTAGCTCTGACCTTATCTACCCTGTACAGACCCTTTTAGTCTGCGTATCTCACTGGTACTTGGTGGCCAGGCTAAACCCCACTTCCTCCAGGAAGCCTTCCATGCCTGCTTTTTCTCTCTCAGCTAGAGTACCTCTTCTCCTCTTTGGACCCTTAGTGTATTCTGTCAACAAACAAGGCTTTGTTTCCATGCCTGGTTTGTCATGTTCTGAGCTCCTTTAAGGGTCTAGGTCAGATCTCTGAATGCTCCTCAGCACCCAGGGCCTGGCTTGGCACACATTAAGTAAATAATAAATATTGATTATGGTTCACTCATCTGCCCAGCAGAGAGTAGCAGAAGTTAATGAGATCTGAAATCGGAAAATCAGGCGGCCCCAATAAAATCCTGCTCTCTCTTTCCTCGTTGAGCACGTAGACAGCTGTTGCTCTACCCTCTCAACCTCAGTTTCCTCAACCATCAACTGTAGGTAATGCTTATCCAGAGCCTCTTTCCCAGGACTTCTGAGACATTATTAAAACAATGATAGTGATGATGATCACTTGTATTCATTGAGAATCTGCCATGTGCCAGGCTCCAAGCACTGTACCTCAAGCATCTCTTCTGATCTTTACAACATACCTCTGAGACAGGTACTGTTATTATCCCCATTTTACAGATGAGGGAATCTGGAAGGAATTGTGGTAGAGCAGGTTTGGGGAAGAAGCAGAGCCCTAGGGCCAGGGAGGGAAATGGGGGTGGCAGGGTGAGGCTGAGAGGAAAGAAGAGAGCCAGCAAGGGGGCCAAGAGCCAGCTCCCTGTGGTTGAGTTTCGGGCAGCTGGGGCTGACTTTAGAGTTTCACCTTCTGGGAACTGACAAATTTCTGCAAGAGGTGTGGGGCACAGATCCGAAGCCTGTCTCCCTGGGCTTGAATTTTTTTTTTTTTTTTTAATACTGGGGATTGAAACCAGGGGTGCTTAGCCACTAGCCACATCCCCAGCCCTTTTTGTTTTTTTATTTTGAGACAGCTTCTCACTAAGTTGCTCACGTCCTCCCTAAGTTGCTGAGGCTTGCTTTGAACTTGTGATCCTCCTGCCTCAGCCTCTTGAGTCGCTGGTATTACAGGTATATGCCACCATGCCAGGCTGGACTCCAATTCTTGCTCCATCTATTCCAAACATTATGATCTTGGTCGGGTCACTGGACGTCTCTGAGCTCAATTTCTTCATCTTTGAAATGGGGATGGGAAAAGTGATCTCTCCATTTACAGTGAGGATTCAATAAAGTGTTGGATATGAAGTCTTTAGGAGGGTGCCAGGCAGCCACATGCTTGGTGTGGGTAGCAGTTTTGGGGAAGAAGCAGAGCCCTAGAGCCAGGGAGAGAGCACATGTTACACACATTATTTTGTTGAAATCTCCTGACTACCTTACAAAACAGGGTCAACTTGGATTGAGGAGGAAACTGAGGCTGAAACATGCAAAGGGATTTGGCTAAGGGCTGGTTAAAGATGAGAAATCAGGGGGTCTGGGGATGTGGCTCAAGGGTACAGCACTTGCCTACCATATGTGAGACCCTGACTTTGATCCTCAGCCCCAAAAAAAGAAAAAGAAAAAAAAATGGAATCAGGATCTGAGCTTAGATCTGTCTCCTTTGATCTTTTGAACAAAGAACCAGCCCCAGAACACCTGTGAAGGCGGATGTTCCCCCCTGAGCAGGAGCTCCAGGGCTGCAGACACTGTTGAAGATGGAGAGTGTGTCCCACGACTAGGTGAGTTAGGGATGCTTAGGACCATCTTTCCATGGAGGAAACTGAGGCAAAAAGGCATTAAGTGCCTTGCCTGCAGCTACAGAGCTGATAGATGAGGAAGCCCCTCGCCCAGTCAGGCCCAAATAACCCTGGAAAAGTCCCCAAACCAATGCAAACTTCCACTTTTCTTTTCTTTCTTTCTTTTTTTTTCCAGATAGTAAAAGGTCTCGAAGTTGCTGAGGCTGACCTCAAACTTGTGATCCTCCTGCCTCAGCCTCCCAAGTAGCTGGGATTGCAGGCATGCTCTCCTGCGCCCAGCTGCAAACTTCCATTCCTGCTGGTGTAGCTTATCCTTGGTATATCTTCTCCCAAAAAAGTCTCAGATCCCTGTACGTATCCCTGCACGATAATCCCTGTTTATCAGAATACAACACACCTGCCACAGGCCTCCTGAAGGCACAGCCCTCCTGTTCCAGGCACCTCAGCGTGTCACCTATTCAGATGAATCCAAAGCCAGAGGGAAACCAGATCAGGAGTGTAGGAAAGAAGGGAGAAGGATCTCTGCCCCATTTTTGTGATTCTCCTGTTCGACCACAAACACACTATTCTGTGGTCACTGGAGAAAAACAAAGTTGTTTCAAGGGCTGGGGACATAGATTTGTGGTAGAGCACTTGCCTAGCATATGCAGGATCCTGAGTTCCTTCCCTGCAGATAGTAAGAGAGAATGGGAGAAAGAAGGGAGGGAGGGAGGGTAGGAAGGAGTCATTGCTTCCAGGAAGTTTAGCTAATGATAACACTTTACAGAAAAATTGTCATGGTGGGGCTCACAGCTTCTAACAGTGACTGGCTGGTACAATTTGAGTGCTTCTTAAATGCATAAAACCCCAACCTTGGCCCTCCTTATGCTGTGTTTCATTGTACTAGTCTGAGCCTCAGTTCCCTCACCTGGAAAATGGGGCTAGCTGTGGCTCTCTCCTAGGGTGACTGTGTTGAAGGGAATCTGAGATGGGACATGAATGCGCTCTGTGTGTGTGAAAACTTATTGAAAATACAAAAGATCTGGACAGACAGTTCTCCAGAGAAGATGTACAGAGGGCAAGAGGCACCGGGAGGATGGTCAGCATCGCGTCATTAAGGAAATGATCCAGACAATGCAATCCAGCTCCATGCTCCCTGGAATGGCCGATCTAAGAAATGGGCAATCACTTCCTTTTGGCCAGGATGTGGAGAAATCGGAACTTTCATCCCTTGCTGGTTGGAATGTATATTGGTGCAGCTGCTTTGGCAGTTTCTCAGAAAGTCACAGCAGAGATACTATATAAACCAGAAATTTTGCTCCTAGGGACATAACCAAGAGAACTGAAAACACATGTCCACATAAAAATGTGTATAAGAGCTAGACAAGAGGGCACACTCTGTAGTCCCAATTGAGGTAGGAGGATCACAAGTTCAAGGCCAGCCTCAGCAACTTCATGAGACCCTCTCTCAGAATTAAAAATAAAAATTGGCGGGGAGGTAGCTCAGTGGCAGAGCACTTGCCTAGCACATGTGAGGCCCTGGCTCCAATCTCTAGTGCCAAAAAAATATTTTTAAAAATATACACAAATTCATAGCATTATTATTATTATTATTATGGGGTACGGAAATTGAACTCAGGGATATTCAACCACTGAGCCACATCCCCAGCCCTGTTTTGTATTTGATTTAGAGACAGGGTCACAATGAGCCTTGCCCTTGCTGAGGCTGGGCTTTGAACTCACGATCCTCCTGTCTCAGCCTCCTGGCTGCTAGGATGACAGGTGTGGGCCACTGAGCCCAGTAGTATCTCTGAATATTAGGAGTCCTGGGTGTGTTTCTTTCCCCTCTCCAGCCTTTGGGTGGAGGCTGTCCAAGTGTAAGGGTTAAGGCTGCCATCTAGAGGTGGCCACAGTACCTGCCAAAGCCCCTATGATTAGCTGGGTAGGAGACAAAGATACAAGGAAGCAGTCCTGCTGGGAAGGCCAGGGCCACCAGTTTGACCAGATTCTTTCCAGATGTTTCCAGACCCTGGAGGTGTTTTTCCCAGACGTTGAGTCCTGTGGAGGTGGCCCACTTAAAAGGAGGGTCATAAGATTTAAGTCCCAGTAGAGGTGCCCAGAGCAGCTTGGGGAAAACCTCACCTACAATTTGCAGAATTATCAGTTTATTCTCTTGAGGGGCTTCTTGAAATCCCACACCTGAGCTGGGATTTAAAGACCTGGTGGCACAGGTCTGTAATCCCAGGGACTTGTGAGGCTAGGCTGGAGGAAGTCCCTGTCTCAAAATCAAAAATAAAAAGGGCTGGGGATGTAGCTCAGTGGGAGAGCACTCCTGGGTTCAATCCTCATTACTGAGAAAAAGAAAAGAAAAGAAAAGGCAAACAGAATCGAAAATCAGAAAAGCAAAATCAAGAATCTAGATCAAACAGGAAGTGGTGGAAGTCATCCCAGCTACTGGACAGGCTAAAGTGGGAGGTTCACTAGAGCCCAGGAAATCAAGGCCAGCCTGAGCAACACAGCAAGGCCTCTTTCCCAGAAGGAAGGAAGGAAAATAAATAAAGAAAGAAAGAGGGAAAGAAAGAAGGAAGGAAGGTGGGGGAGAGGGAGAGGGGAAGTGGGGAAGGGAACAGGAAAAGACAGAAAAAAGAAAAAAAAATCCGGATCAGGGCTGGATGTCTTGCCTACCATGTGCTCTTATCTCCCAGGTACTCCCCCACACCATTTGATCCCCAGCACCAGATCAATTGCTAACATTGAAAAACAAAACTCAGAACTCTCTGGAAATAAACAAGACATTTAGCCTTTGGAATCCTGGGGTGTTGGCCACAGGACGGGTGGTGAGCACTCATACCATCCACCTTTCTGAAGCTGTCCCTGATCTCTGCTGCCCACCTCCTTTAGCAATCCTAACCTGTCATCAGTTCACCTGGCAATGGTGATCCTTCTGAAGCTCTGGGTCCCCCCTGGGATTGAAGCTGCTCCTTGTCTTCATCTTCCCACCCCAGAGCCTCCCACAGCCTGGACACACAGAATTGAATTGATTGAACTGATCTCAATGAGCGGTTTTTGGAACAGTTGAAAGGTCACTCACAGTGTCCCTTCCCAGAAGGGACTAACCACGCAGAAGGCCTGTGACTCTTCATGGAGGGAAATGCTGAGCTGGAGGTCCTGGAGGCTATCATGGGGGCTGGAATTCCCAGGAACCCCCTTCTCCAGACCTGTACACCCCAAGAAAGAACAAAACTTTTCTTCTCCTTCTATTTGCAGTGCTGGGGATTGAAAGCAGAGACTCACACATGCTAGGCAACTGCTCCACCACCGAGCCATACTGAGGTAGGCAGAAAACGGGGATAGGTAGAAAGGAGTTTAACGGGAAAGGGGAAGAAACTATAGTCTTAACTTTGGGAAGTTCCTGTAACACTGTCACCACCCCCGCAAGCCTGGTTTCCTCCATGCTCAAATTCTTTCTTTCTTTTTTTTTTTTTTGGTATACCTTTATTTATTTATTTAATTTCAGAGTACCGGGGACTGAACTCAGGAGCACTTGACCACTGAGCCTTGACCACTGAGCCACATCCCCAACCCTCTTTTGTATTTTATTTAGAGACAGGGTCTCACTGAGTTGCTTAGCACCTCACTTTTGTTGAGGCTGGCTTTGAACTCGTGATCCTCCTGCCTCAGCCTCCCAAGTCACTGGGATTACAGGTGTGCACCACCCCATCCGGTTTCTATTTATCTTTTTGCATTGCTGAGTATCGATCCCAGAGCCTCACACGTGCTAAGCAGGCACTCTACCACTGAGCTACAACCCAGCGCCATTCACTCCTAAATTCTTAAAAAGCCCTTGAATGTTACTGAGAGTCTAGGTGCTTAATGCCTACAGACATTGCTAGCTTACATAACGTATTTTATTTAGACAAAATAAAGCCAAGGGAAAATATGATCTGAGCATATTCCAATCGTTATCTATTGACCAGATGACACCCACCTAAAGATCCTATAATCCCCCCTGTACACCACAAGTAAGAACAAAACTCACGGGTTGGCTATGGTGCCCCGGAGCTTCTTACAAAGATTGTATTTACAAAGATTCTTTTGAAAAGAAGAACTCTTGCCAGGCAGAGGCTAAAGCAGAAGGATCATGAGTTCAAGGTCAATCTAAGCAACTTAGTATGACCTAGTCTCAATTAAAAAAAAAAAATTAGAACATAAGTTGGTGGTAAAGCACTCCTGGGTTTGATTCCCAGACAAGAAGAAAGAGGAGGAGGAGGAAGAACAGAAGGAGAATCCAGGATCTCAAAAGCACATCTCACACTTGAGTGCTGGTATCTCTTCCTCGGAGTACATGGCCTGCTCTGTTGCTCTTTTCCTGAATACATCTCCCTGCTTTCTATCTTTGTGCCCCCTTTGACATATCCTGAAATTCCTTTCTGTGGCCTAATTCAAGAACTTGCCAGTGTGGGGTTGAGATCCCCTTCTCCCTTCTGGGAGACCTCCTGGGATCCCTATCCAGTAACAATACTACCAGCAAAATGGAAAATCTCACACCTGACCTCATGTTGCAGGTCACGGCCAAACTGCAGGCACGCTAAAAAATATATAAAATCACCTTCACCTTCAGGTTGTGCTCATGAGGTCTATATGAAACATAAATGAGTTTTGCATTTAGACCTGGGTCCCGTCCTCAAGACATATCAGTAGGTATGTGCAAACATGCCAAAACCTGAAATCCAAAACTCTTCTATTCCTAAGCATTTTAGATAAAGGATACTGAGTGCATTCACACCCCAGAGCCATTCCAGTTATCACAAGAGCCCTGAGTCACGCCTGAGCCAGGAGTAGTTCAGTGGTATACCTACAGGCAAACCACGTAGGGAATGTCAGAGCCCTGGACTGTATGTATTTGCTATGAGAGGGTCACCTTTCTGAAGGCTCACAAAGCTTCATACCTATGGTCCCCAGAATATCCAAGGAGGTATGCATTGTCATTTTACAGGTGAAGAAACTGAGACTTAAGGCCAAGGGCAGGTGATGCTGGTTGAGGCTGGTTTCGAGCCATGATAGACTGGGTTCACCATCTCAGTACTCCCTTCCTCCGGACACTTTGGCTTCAGCATGTGCAAGTAGAATAAGTGCACCCACTTCGCAGGTGGCTGCAGGGAAAAGAACTAAGGCCTGTGAACATCTGCAGCACCGTAGGTCAAACTAGGGATTGGACCCAGGGGTGCTGAGTCATATCCCCAGCCCTTTTTATTATTATTTTGAGATTAAACTGCATAGGGTCTTGCTAAATTGCCGAGGCTGGCCCCGAACCTGTGATCCTCCCGCCCCAGCCTCCCCAGTGGCGGGGATTACAGGCAGGCGGGCGCCACCAAGCCTGATTCTGAAGTCACTACTTTTGTTCTTCTCCACAATTGCAGCAACTCGCCACCAGAGGGAAGTCATGCGCCAGAAACCTACATATTTCCCAAGCACCTGGTGGACGGGTCCAAGGTTGAGAATTCGCCTGAGCTGTTATGCCCGGTGACCAACTCTGGGATCAAGGAAGGTTTCTCACCATTGTGGAGCTCTAGAAGCTGACCCATAAGGCTTAGACCTTAGACCCATCCAAAGCCCCTTTACCAACACCAGTTCTGGGTTGGACAGAGTGGGGGATGGATGTTGAGGGAGACCCAGCTGTGTCCCATTTGGTGGTGGCAGTGGTGGGGGGTGGCAATTATCAGCAATTCCCCCCCTGCTGGAGGCTTGATTCCTGGAGCCACAGCTGCAGGATGGGGGTGGGGGTGCAGGGAGGGCTTCGAATTGTCTCCCTAGGGGTTTCCATGGTTACAGATTGATGCAGGCAGCCCACTAGGCTGGGTCCTTTATCTGTATTGTCTCCTCTGGAGACAATGGGCTTTGGAGATGGGGGACACTATGTAAATCACTTCTGCACAGGGGCCTTGAGTCCCCTGCTCTGTGAACCCCCTGACCCCAGCTACTGGGGTCCAGGGAGTTGGGTGCAGGGGTCAGCCTTGGTGATCATTCCTTGCTTTGGGGTACCAGAGTACTGCTCCAGGGACTCAGAGAGGATGGTGGGAGACCACTTTAGCAAACCTGAGGCTCCCAGATGGCAGAGCTGCAGGGGTGTCCAGGCCCTATGCAAAAAGCACACTTTGGGTGAAGGCTGGCTGGCTGCAGTTATTTTACTTGCACAAGCCTCAGTTCCCTCCTCTGGAAAAGTGGGGACAACACCCATTTTATAATTTGCTGTGGAGAGGCACCAGGCCCAATGCTGAGTGCCAAAATAGGTCCTCAGAGAGTTGCCTGAGCTCAGAGGGGTTCCTGGTGTCGGGGTGTAGGACTGGCTCTGCAACTGAGGCCTTTGCCAAGGCCCCTTCTCTCTGGGCTTCAGCTGCTCCATGGATGACTCTGAGACTTGAAAAGTTTATAAAGGAAGAAGTGAGATGATAATACGGAGGGCTTGGAAAAATTAAAAATCAGTTCCTAGCACACAACCCTGCCTTCTAAGACTTCCATCGAGTTAGAATGTGTGCCCTGTGATCATAGGGCCCTGGCACGTTTCTGCAGGATCCGTCTACGAATAAGGCCAGCCGATCTTAGAGACAAGGAGACTAAGGATGGCTTTTATTGTTATCCAGGTGACTTGGCCCCCAAATGCATAAGGCCCAACAATAAAATTATTTTGTCTGCAATATGGAATACAGAACTTGCCTAAGGGAAAAAAATAAAACAACTTCTTCATGTTTAAGCAGCAAAGTTAAAACTTCTAAATGTCTATTACTCATCCTTCCATTATGAGGCACACAACACAGAGCCTCGCACACTGTAAATGTTCGATAAGTGAAAGTTCTCGTCCTCATCACCGTTATTAATGAATTTTTTATGCATACCATATTTCACCATATATCATCACAGATTTTATGCCAATTTTTTTGAAAAATGTGGGGTGAAACCATCATGTGAACTTTAAAAAAAATATGCTGATAATAAGAATCATATATTACTAAACTGGTGAAAAATTAGGATACACAGAATACTCAAGAGTATACTTATGAATGTTAAAATTGAATAGACTCAGGAGGCTGAGGCAGGAGGATGGCAAGTTTAAGGTCAGCCTTAGCAAGTTAGCAAGGCCTTAAGCAACTTAGCAAGACCCTGTCAAAAAAAAAAAAATCAATAAAAAGGTCTGAGGATGTAGCTCGGGGGTAAAGTGCTCCTGAATTCAATCCCTAGTACCAGGAAAAAAGAAAAAAGCTATGTTTACCCTTGGTACCACAGCACACTCAACAAACCACAAGATTCAACTTTTAGAAACATACTGACAATGAGCCCGAGCTGAGGATTTGGGGCTGGGACCAGCAGTGCACAGGAAGACAAATGCACATTGACACACGGGGAACATATCGCTGCTCTGTTTAGCTTTAAGTGACACAAGGAACAGAATGATATCATGCCATGATTACGATATCAAAAGTTATAAGCCAATTTGGGGATTGAAAAAAAAAAACAGGATGTAATACATACACAGTGGCAATAGTTAAGCAGAAAAAAGTGGTATTCAACATTGAGGGCACAGAGGTAAAGAAAATTCCTTCCTGACTTTGAGAAATTCAGCCTAGGGAGAGGGGAGAGCAAAAAACCAATCCCTCTCTGGTTCAATATACACCACCTCATAGAATTCTCAAAATTGTCTTGGGAGGTTTGTTCTTCCCATCTTAGAGATAAAAGAACTGAGGTTCTAGTGGGATTCAGTGAGTGGCCCAGACATGGTAAAATATGAATAAAATATGGAATACAACAAGTTTAGGGGGAAAATCATTTTACTGGCTTAACAGACATGTTTGAAAGCAATGACGTGTATAAATTATATAAGGTACATAGCTCACAGCTTCATTTTATTAAAAAATATATAAAAGGCTGACGCCTACAACCCCTGTTACTTGGGAGGCTGAGGCGGGAGGATCTCAAGTTTGAGGCCTGTCTGAGCAACCTTAGCAAGACCCTGTTTCAAAATTAAATTTTTTTTTTTTTTTTTTTAGAGAGAGAGGAGATTTATTTTTTAGTTTTCGGCAGACACAACATCTTTTTGTTTGTATGTGGTGCTGAGGATCGAACCCGGGCCACACGCATGCCAGGTGAGCGCGCTACCGCTTGAGCCACATCCCCAGGCCTCAAAATTTTAAAATCTCTAAGAAGGGTTGACAACGCAGCTCAGTGGCAGAGCCCTTGCCTAGCATGCCCAAGGCTGTGCATTCAATCCCCAACACTGAAAGAAATGTGTCTTTCACCGAGTTATAATACAAGCCAGGGGGTGGGGATGTAGCTCAGTTGATAGAATGCTTGCCTCACCTGCACAAGGCCCTGGGTTCATGCAGCATGTTTCTCTAATCCTCACAAGAACCCTGAAAGGTAGAAATGGTTAGCTCCCTTTCACAAATGAAAAAGTCTCAGAGAGGTAAAGTTATATGCCCAGGGTCGCACAGCAAGGCAGGGATAGAGCCAGGGCTGGGACCTGGGCCAGGACTCACCTTGCAGAGGAGTTTTGTCAAGGAAGACGCTGCTGAGGTCCTCAGCTCCCTTGCCAGGGAGCGCACTGAGTGGGCTTCAGAGCAGCTCTTCACGGCGAGAGGGTTTGTTTCGGCCCATTTGGGAAGCATCGGGCGTAGCACGGCCTTCTCGAAGTGTGTGCATCTGCGGGCCTGTGTGCTCGGGTAGGCACATATGTGACTCTGTGTGAAGCTGGCCCCGTGCCGGGTCTCTCAAAGCCATGTGATAAAAATCGGGTACATCTTCCTGAATTGTCAATTTTGCTAAAAAAAAAATAATAATAATAGAGAGGCATCAAGGTTTTCTATAAGACACAGATGGCTACAGAGTGTCTGAGAACACACGCGGCCATGGTAGGCTGAGGTCACGAAGGGACAAGCTTTTGCAGGTGTGTTCCATGTGCTAATCTAAGGGGCCTGTACAGGAACCCGTCCTCAACCACGACTGTGTGTGGTAGAGAGCCTACTGTCCCCATTGGACTGGTGCAGAGACTGAGGACCAAAGAAGTGAAGTCACACGTCCAAGTTCACACAGCTGGTAAGTGGAAGACGGCAGGAGTCTGGATACTTCTGTATTGACCATTGCTTGTTCCATGCAAAGTGAACAAGATTAACTTGTGAGGAGACAACAGTGAAGAAGAGGCACCCCACACACACCTTGGCCTCCTCCTGGTAAAATAACACAGGCTGCCCACTGTAAGCAGCTCAGCTGTGTCATGTGCTCTCTCTGTCATGTGATTTAATTCTACCCTATGAGAGAGGTACCACTGAGAGTTTTATAGGTGAAAAACAGAGAAGGGTGTCATCTAGCCAGTCAAACAGCCAAGAAGTGGCAGAGACAGATTTTTTTTTTCCATTTCCAGGGCCTTAAACATGTGCTCTACCACTGCGTCATGTCCCCAGCCCCAGAGAGGCTTCGAAGGGAGGTCTCTCTGATGGCAAATCTGCTGCTCTCACCATCGCTGGCCACCAGGTCCTCTGCCCTCTGGTCATATGTCCCCTTCCCCTAACTCCTGTGCTCTGTTAGAGAAGGGAGTTTCACCAGCGAGCTGATTCTAGGTCAGGCTGAGCCTGCCCAGGTTCATAGGGTCTAAAGCTCTGTTCCTCTACCAGCTGAAATCACACTTGTCATGAAATTATTCTGGATGAGAAGGTAGTAGCTGGGTGTGATCTGGTCCACCCCCCACCACACACACTTTTGTTTTTTTCAGTACTGGATTAAAACCCAGGGTTGCTCTACCACTGGGTTATACCTCCAGATCCCCAATCTGTTTTAATTTTTTATTTTGAGACTAGGTCTCACTAAGTTACCGAGGCTGGCCTTTAATTTGGCAATCCTCCTGCATCAGCCTCCCCACTGAGATTACCTGCATGCACCACCATGCCTGACTTTATTTTTTATTTTGAGACAGGGTCTCACTGAGTTGTGCAGGCTGGCCTGGAACCTGTGATTCTCCTGTCTTGGCTACAGGCATGAGCCACAGAGCCTGACTTATCTGTCATTTCTTTTCTTTTTCTTTTTTTATTTTTTGGAGCGGGGGAGGTACTAGGGATTGAACTCAGGGATATTTGACCACATCCCCAGCCCTATTCTGTATTTTATTTAGAGACAGGGACTCACTGAGTAACTTAGTGCCTCACTTTTGCTGAGGTTGGCTTTGAACTCATGATCCTCCTGCCTCCGCCTCCCGAGATGCTGGGATTACAGGTGTGCGCCACCGTGTCTGGCTAGCTGTCATTTCTTGAATGTCACTCGTGTCCTAGCTTCTGGGTGCTTTGCATTCAGTTCTTTCTGCACCTCTGTGGACAAGTTTCAAGATTCCCACAGCGTCACAGGGAGGAGTCTGAGGCACTAGGATGCTCCTGGGTGTGAGGAAGGGACAGTGCAGGCCACAGGCCTGAGATACCATGCCTGGAAAGACAGGAAGGAACTCCTCCAGCAGGAATCTGACACCAAGTCCTGCAACCTCCTAGGTGGGAGTCACTCAGGGCCTACCAAGGGCCAGGCTTTTTATATGTCATCTAATTTAATCATTGTATCAATCATATGAGGCTCAGAGAGGATAAATAACTTACTTGTGATGGCACAGCTGATAAATGCAAAGCTAGGATTCAACCCACAGGTTTGATTCCCAGACTCACAGAGACAAAGTACCAGGGGAGCTGCTGTGGGTGGGAGAGGCCAATTCTGTGGGATGTATTGGTTTGTACAATGTTTTAATTAGATTTTTTTTTTTTTTAAATTCCTTGGTAGCTCTGGGGACTGAGCCTAAGATTTTGTACATGCTACGAAAATACTCTACCACTAAGCTACATCTCCAAATTGTACAAAGCTTTAAAAGAGTGGCAGAGAGCAAAATTTTGGATTCTGACCTTCAGGGCAAACTGGGTTAGGTCTCCTCATGTCTGGGCATTCATAGGGGGTTGAAATGGAAGCAGCCTGCCCCTGCCCTGTTGGCATTGCTACCAGGAAGACTGCAAAATGCTGGGCACTAATATATAGCATTTTGTTTGTTTGTTTGTCACCAGGGATTGAACTCAGGGACGCTTTACCACTAAGCCACATCCCCAGCAAACCCCCTGACCCTAGCTTTTTTTTTCTTTTGTTTGAGACAGGGTCTCACTAAGTTGCTTAGGGCCTCACTAAGTTGCTCAGGCTGGCTTCGAACTCAGATCCTCCTGCCTTAGCCTCCGAGCCACTGGGATTTTAGGCATGTGCCACCACACCCAGCTGGTAAAATGGCCTCTTTTGAACATTGTCCTTGCCACTCTCTTTGTAGGTGGACTTGAATCTGCACTGGAAAATGTGATTGACAGGATATTGGACCAATAGATAGGCCCCTTGGGGCTTACCTGGATGAACACAGAAGGAAGCTGGGATCACAGTGGCTCCACACTTCGCACATCTGGACCCACAGTAAGCCGTACCAGTTTCTTGTCTTGATAGAGAAGGAAGTTACATTGGGGAGAAATGTCTAATGTCCCCAGGTCCTCACCCCTTCCCTGCATTATCTGCAGTGGCTCAGTTCCCTGGGCGTGTCTTGAAATTTTTTTGGATGCTAGAAGTGGCGTAGACTGGAAAGAAAACAAGGCTTAGCAAAAACCAGGATCATCAAGCAGGCGGGTTATTCTTAGAAGCCTACTGGGCTACGAGTACCCTCATTACCACACAACGCACACTTTGAGCCCCAAACCCACCAACTGCCAGCTGGCCAGCAACCACCTTGACTTAGGGTAATGAGTTCCATATGTTTCTGTAAGAACCAGCTAAGCTTTTCTCCAGCAGCTCTCACAGTGTTCTCTCCCTCCCCAGCTTCAAACTCACATTTGACCACCCTTGTTCCTTTGGCTCTTCATGACTGTGGGAGGGAGAGGGCTGGGTGGGCAATAACAAGAGGACCTTGATTTGAGGAGTCACCATTCCCCGACTTTCCTTTTCCAGAGCCTTGGCCTCTCATGGCCTCAACTGTCCCATCCCTAAGGGCTGAGAAGCTTGGATTCCAGATTTGTCTTGACCACCAACTTGCTACATGTACCTGAGCAGACCCTGCCCTTCTTTGGGCCTTAAGTGTGACCTCGAGGACCCTTCTATCTCTGATGGGTTTTAGATTTATGAACAAATGAAGGGAAGAGGACAATCAATTGCCTGTTATCCATGGTGGCTCCAGGGTGGGATCCCTGGGAAGCAGAAGGCCTCCCTACTCTGGCCAATTCGGCTGCCAGCCTGAGCTCCTTCTAACAACAGTAAGGCCCAAGGAGAACTTCTGCGTGCAGCATGTGGCCCTAAGTAAGAGCAGGGTGGTGGTGAGGAGAGTGAGTGTCCCCAGATAGAAGGACAGCTCCAGAGCTTGGGTGGGGAAGTAAGATGGGCCATGGTGAGCCACCATGGAGGGATGTGAATCCAAGCTCACAGGGCTAAAGAGAACTCGTCCTCTTATCTGGTTTGTCAAAAGCAGCTCCCAAATCCTGATGTCAAGGTGACCTCCCTACACTGATACAGACTATCCACTGTCCCTACTCACAGACTGACCCCGACACCCTGATCATTTAAGCCAGGCAAAAGTGACTACTGCCAACTTCTGCCCACACTTATCCCCAAATCTTGCCACGGACTGGCTGAACCCCAATTCTAGCCACACTCTAATCAGTCACTGTGCTGCAAAGGGATCTGCTGCAGAGTGACCCCTTGACCTTGCTGCTGACTGACCCCTAGCAAGAGAAATAATCAGAGAACAATTAAATGCTAAACTCGGAGTGAAACCGGACAGCGCAGAGGCGAGAACGGGGCGGGTGGGGGCGGGGAGGGAGAGCAGGGGCCGAGGGCAGAGGCTTCCCGGAGGAGCCCCATGGCCTGAGGCCACTCTCAGAAGGTCGGAGAGGCCGTGTGCGGGGCACGTCGCAGGCGCTCGAGGAATGCAAGCTGCTTGAAAGAATGAAGGAAGGAAGGAACGGGGTGCGATGCAGGCGGCCGCCCGGCCGGGGCAAAACGGCCGAGGCAGGAAGCGGGGTGGGGGCGCGCCGAGGCTGCGGCGGCCCGAGCGCAGCTGGGGGCAGCGGGAGAGCAGTGGGGTCAGCGACTCCGCTGGGTGGGGGCCCCCCGAGGCCGAGAGGCTGGGAACTGGGAGGCCGCGCTGCTGGCAGAGCGGCGGGGGCGCCGCGAGGCTCCGGATGGGCTTCGAGCCCCGCCCGCGGGCTGCGGAGGGAGCGGGAGCCAGAGCGGAGCCAGAGCTCAGACATCCGGGCGCCAGCGAACACCTGCGAGCGGCCCCCAGGGCCCGCGGGGGGAGCGCCGGGCGCCGGGCCGGGGGCGGGGCGAGGGGCGGGGACGCTCGGCTCCGCCCAGCCGGGCTCCGAGCCACGTGTTCCCGGCGCCTCCCCTGTGCAGGCGCCAAGGAGCCGCCGGTGCGGAGTGGCTCTCCCCACCGAGGCCCGCGAGTGGGCAGAGGGCAGCTCTGGAAGCAGCTCTGCAGGAGACTGATGGAGGTTTCTAGGTGCAGCATGGGGCATGGGGAAAAGTGGGGGCCACGAGAGGCGATGAGGCCAGAAGACGGGTAATTGGAGGTTGTCCCGCGCATCCACAGCTATAGAGAGAGCTTTACTGACTTTCTCAAAGTGGCACCATTTATGGTGTTAGAGGCATGAATTTGAACCCCTGCTTTGTTACTTAGGAGCTGTGTGGCCACGAGCAAGTTATTTTGCCTGTTCTAAGCTTGTTTATTTACAAGGGAAAGATAACTTCCAAATGACTGAATTTCAGAGCTGATGCAAAGAATGCCTGCGAAATGAGCGCAACACACTCGGTTGACTATGCCCCTTGTAATTCAGGGAGCCTAAGTAGATGTTTGATGAGCATTGTTTGTTATCTGAATCGCAAACCTGGAAGGAGGTACCATCATCCCCCTTGCACAGAGAAGGGAGATACCTGGGGTGGCCTTAGGTTCCTCTGGGGACCAAATATATGGCCCACTTGGAATATCAGGGAAAAGAGCCCATTTAAAGTCAAGTCGAGAACTTGGGCTTTGAAGCTAGAGGAAGCTGGCCTTCCTGAACCCCACTCTGCCACTTCATTACTGTGACCTGAATCAAGCTATTCAGCCTGAGTCTGTTTTCTCTGTAAAACAGGAGTAATGATACCCACCTTCCTGGGTTGTAGAGACAATTAGAATAAAATAAAATGGAATGTGGCACCTAGTAGGCACTTGCTAAGTGATTATCATGGAAGACACTAACCTCTGAGAGTTTTCTGACCTAGGGCCAAATTGCTTTCACTCTCTAATGACTAATGGATTGGCGTGCTGGTCTAAGCTTTTGTCCTGGCCACCTGAACAGCTCAGCCCTGGGAGTCCTGACAAGCAATTTCCTTGGAATTAGCTTAATAATACCTCGTAGGTGTGTGATGCATTTCAAAGAACTTTCCCACCATTATCTTCTGTCCACGGAGGCAGCAAAGGAAAAGAGGCTCAGAGAGGTGAAGTGGCTTGCTCAAGGTCACACGGCGGTGAGAGCTAGGGCTTTTTCAATCCTTTCCCATTCCTGCAACTTTTGAGCAAGCAGGAGGCAGCAGGCTGAAAAAGGTATAGGTCATGGAGCTCAAATGCCCAACTCTATTGCAGTTAATGGTATAACTGATTTGGTTAATGAGGTGGAGCTAGGCACCTCAGACTGCTTCTTCAAAATCAGTTCCCTTTCACAGATGTGGAAACTGAGGCTCAAGAGAGTCAATCTTGCTGGACCTGTTAGTGCAAGCTTATGATCCCATCAACTTGGGGTACTGAGGCAGGATTGCAAATTTGAGGCCAGCCTCTGAAACTTAGTAACTGACCCTGTCTCAATATTTTTAAAAAAGGTGTGTGTGTGTGTGGGGGGGTGTTTTTATATGTAGCTTACCGGTAAAGGGTCCTGGGTTCAACCCCCAGTACCAAAAAGAAAAAAAATGCAGGCTAGAGACCAGAGGAAAAGTAGGGATTTGTAGCTGTTTAGCTGTCCCCAGAACCATCTTAGCACTACTTCAGACAGTCCAGGGCAGACCCAGCTGGGGTCTTACAGTCTGATTGGGGCAAGGGCTTATGCTATGGGCCTCCAGAGGGTTGGAGGTCTGCAGTTGCTCTGCAGTTGTGGGGGAGGGTATGTATATTTTGAAGAGTGTTCATACCTTCCATCAGAGCATCAGAGATCATGACCTGAAATATGCTAAGAACCAATGGTCAGGCTGGGAGGATGGTTGGCAAAAACAGAGGTTGCCCCCACCCCAAATGCCCCTGTTCACCCCAGAAAGCTCACCAGGGTTAAGGCACAAAAGGTAATGATGTGACTTGTTTGTTATGAAATACTACAGTAACACATGCCAGGGGCCAACACACAAATGAGATCATATCATAAACAAGAATCCGGTGAAGCTAGGTGCCTGGTGGAGCCCATCTGGGGAGCCACCAGGTGGGGGGCAGTTGGAGATGGCATTAGTTGGAGTCTTGCCTTTTGCCTCACTCCCAGGACTGACCCCCTGTCCACCACAATTCTAGTCACTGTAGTTACAATTCAAATCCCATTCTTGCTCTTAAGGGGCTGGGAAAAACTGGTTCAGCCTATGACTGAGTCTGACCTTCCCCATTCTGATGCAGGCACAAAGATGCTTACAGAATTAGTTCCCAGTGGAGGTGTAGGAATATCTGAAGTAATGAGGGCTCTGGGGACCCCTCCTCAAATTCCCAGCTCAGGTCCTGAGTCTACATAGCATTAAGAGGACCAGTACCAATACTTCCCAACAAGCTTGCAAGTCCTTGTCAGAGTGGCTGCAGATTTGAAGAGACTCTGTTCTTTTTCCAACTTTGGAAGCACTGGGGGAAGCCAGATCAGAGAGCATGATTGGAAATGAAACTGGGCCCAATGCTGAGTTTATTCATCTCAGAAATGGGTCTCAGTCACCACCCCTGACTGGGCACCAGATAAGGCAAACTGGAGGCTCCACTCTTACCACATCCCCTGCTAGAAAGGCATTAATAATGACATTGAAGACAGACACTGCTAGATCTCAAGGGACCTGATAATCAAGTCCCCAACTGGCTGGGTGAGCTTGTGCTGGTCTTCTCTAAGATAAAGGGGAAGGACCAAGTTCTTTTCTGTTCCCAACCCCCAATGGATATGGGATTCCCACCATGACCTCTTTCCACCACCCCACCTCCAGTTTCAAATGGGAGTTCTCCTCTCCCTCTTGAGGGAATAAGCAAATTTGCTCTTCCCAAGTTCTAAAATATTTATTTTCCCAAAGTCAGCCATGTAAGAAAATTAGTACAAGGAATGAGATGTTTCATGAGATCATATAAAGTGTTTAAAAACCGTTTATTATGCAAAATGTTAACTTTTATAAAAAGTTTAATATACATCGCATGATTACAGAAAGTCACCTTCCTGCAAAAAAGGTACAAAAGCTATATACTCTATTATAGAGTTCATAATCAGGGCAACAGAGCCTTTCTCCAGGGAGACCAGAAGACAGCTCAAACGCCGCCTTGGCAGAGTTCGGGAGAGCTGCCACTCCCCCACTCTCCAGCCCTCCACTCTGAACAGACAGTCTTTAAAACTTGGGGGTGGGGTGGGGGCAGGGTGACGTTGCCCAGCTGGTGACCAGCGCTAGCTCTGGCTCTTCAGGCCACCCAAGTTCACAGTCCTTTGCTCCCGGGCGCCAGGTCCAGCCTCGAGGCAGGGGTTTGGGGAAGTAAAGTGGGCAGGGCGAGGTTAGGGCTCATCCATGCCCTGGAGCTTCCGGCCGGAGAGGGTCCCCGGGTCCCAGGCGGAACGGGCGCCAGCACCTGCGTTCTGGGCGGGGGAGGAAAGAAGAGCAGGGAGCCGTCAGTTTCCGCCGAGCGCGCCGAGGCGGGGGCCGTCCGCAGACTGGCCGGCGCCAGGGAGGAAACTTGGTCTCTACCTCCAGCTGATAACTCCGCGCCCCACACTGCCCCCACCCAGTTGGCGCCAAAGGACCACTGGCGGAGCCACCACTACCCCTCCCTCCTTGGAAGGGACACTATTTGGAAGGGGGACGAGAAAGACACAGCTGTCTTTACGGTAACAATCAGAAAAGGCTTTTATTTAGTCAGATCTGCATCAACTTTCCGGATCTTTGCCCTCTCGGGAGGACAGAGCCAATGTCCGGTAAGTCCGAAATACGCACATTAGATAGAAAATGGTTTTGTCATTCATTTAAAGTGAACATGGACAAGTCATTTTTCCCTTTGGGCTTGGTTTCTCTAAACCGAGGGGTAGTAACCCTCTAAAGGGCATGCCGATCCCTCAATTTGCAGTGTAAACCTCCCCCCGGAGGGGATCCTCACCTGGAGGTGCCAGGACGGCCGGGTCAGTGGCAGAAGCTCCTCTTGTCGTTGGAGATCACAAGTTCCGGAGCAAGCTCAGCTGTCTGGGAAATAAGGGGAGAGTTATGCAAGGAACTCGCCGTGCTCTGAGGGACTCGCAGCATCCCAGCCCTTGCGCCCAACCCTGTCCCACCCCGGCTCCCGCACGCACCTGGATGGGGAGATGAGGACCGTCTGGGGGCCCAGGAGCCGGCTCGGCCAGGACCACCTGGAGGTCAAGGATATAGTCGATGACGCGCTGCAGGATTTCCACCTGGCTAAGCTGAGTGCCCCTCGGGACGCCAGGCACCAGTTCTCGCAGGCGCGAGTAGCAGTGGTTCATATCGTCCAGGAGGCTCAGCGGCTCCTCCGC